TAGCTGATAAAGATTTTCTCCTGTTCTGTGTGTTGTTTGTGTGCTCTGCTGATAATTTCCTTTTCTGTGCAGAATCTTTTAAATTTCAGTTAGTCTAATCTATTGATACTTGGGGCTAGTTCCTGTGTTATTGATATTCTATTAAAGTTCTTACCTACTCTGATGTCCCGAATATTATTCTTTATATTTTTAAGTAGGCGTTTCAGGGTTTGTATTAAAATCTTTTATTCATTTTGAATTCATTTTTGTACAAGATGAAAGTTGTGAATCTAATTTCATTCTTCTGTAGGTGGAAATCCAACTTTCCCAACATCATTTATTGAATAGGCTATCTTTTGTCCAATGTATGTTTTGGCTTCCTTAATTAAAAATTAGATGGGTATAGCTTTGTCATTTTATTTCTGGATCCTGTATTTTGTTTCTTTGGTCTACCTGTGTGTTTTAATGCTAGTTTCAAGCTATCTTTATCACTATAGGTCTGTAGTATAATTTGAGGTCAAGTAGTTTGATGCCTCAAGCTGTGTTCTTGCTCTGTAGGATTTTTTGAATATTCATGGTCTTTCATGCTTCCATGTCAGTTCTTGGATTGTTTTTTTTTTCTAGTTCTATCAAATATTCCATTGGAATTTTGAGAGGTATTCCATTAAATCTGCAGATCAATATCGGTAGCATAATCATTTTTTTGATTTTTGAAATGATATTTAATAATATTTATAATAAAATAATAAAATAAATTATATTTGGTAACTTTATTCTTCTTTTTCAGTTTATTATTTATTTAATAACCACATACTTAGAAGAAGCATTTCATTACAACAGCATTGACATATTCAATAGCAATTTTCTAAGCTAAGATGCATCTTTTTCAAAATTGGCTGTAAATTTCTAGGTTCACAGTTGAATTGTTACAGTTATACAATATTTTACTCAGTATAAACCCTATAAGACATAAAATTAAATGAGGTTTTAACCTTTAAAAAAGATCTCCATTTCATTATTAAAATACACAGCTTCGTACAGAAAAATTCATTTTCAATGCATTTTTACAACATTGATTCTGCCAGTCCAGGAGCATGGTATGCCTTTCATAATCTAGTATCTTCTTGTATTTCCTTTTTCAGTGTATTGAAAATTTTATTGTAGAGGTCTTTTTCTTCTTTATTTAGGTATATTCCTAAGTAGTTATTTTTTATGATATATGAATAGGATAGTTTTCCTAGTATATGTCTATGAAAACATAATGTTAATATATAAGAAGGTTACTTTTCATATTGCATTTTGTATCCTGCAACATTACTGTAAGTATTAATTAGATCTAGGAGTTTTCTAGTGAACTCTATAGGACTCTTAATTACAGAATCACATCATCTTCAAATAAGGATAATTTGACCTCCTTCTCTCCTCTTTTTATCTTTTATCTTTTTCACTTGTCTAAGTCTAATACATCAAGCCCTATATTAAACAAGAGGGGAAAGTGGACATCCTTGTCATGTTTTTTATTTTAGAGGAAATTCTTTTTGTATGTGTCCATTTAATACTGGTTCTAGACTGTTGTATATAGCCTTCATTATTTTGACATAGGCTTCATCTAATCCTAACATCTCCAAAACTTTTATCAAGAAGCATTTTGAGCTTTGTCAAATGCTTTTCCAGAATTAATCAAGATGATTATGTGGTTTCTGGAATTTAGTGTTTTATATGTTGTATTACATTTATTGATTTACATATGTTGGACCTACTTTGTCTTTATGAGATGAAGTCCACTTGCTCATAATGTGTGATTTCCTCATGCCTTTCCCCCTCCCAGCAGCCATCACTTGCCAAAAGTTCCTTAGGTTGGCTTGGGATTTCTTACCTACTTTCTTATGTCTATGCTTGGATTTTGTAGAGCTTGCATAGGACTGTGCATGCTGTCATTATTGCTGTGAGTTCATATAAGCAAACGACCAGCTGTCTGGAAGACTGTTTCCTTCCGGTCATCCAACCCCTCTGGTTCTTACAATCTTCCTGCCTCGTCTTCTGCAATGATCCCTGAGCCTTGGGAGACAGAGGTTGAAATAGGGGCCCTATTCCAGGATAAGCACTCTGAGGCCTCTTGTTCTCTGCGTATTGGCCAATTGTGGGTTTCTGTGTTAATCATCATCTGCTACATAAGGGAACTTCTCTGGTGAGAGCTGAGAGATTACATTGATGATGTGTCACTTAGTGTTAAGCATTTTAGAGACACTTACTCTACATTTGACTAGTTCTAAGACTGTAATAGTCTCCATCTTTTGAAAAAAAAACTTCTGTGATAAGGAGAGAAAGGCAACACTTGTCTGTAAATATGAGGATGCATATTTAGTAAGAGATTGCATTAGTCTAGGGATATGGCAAAAGTAGATTTTTCTCTAGGACGTATGACCTCCCCAGCCATGTATATTTGATTATGTTTACAGTACCACACATGAGTTCCTTCCCATTTAATGGGCTTTAAGTCTAATTAGCTAGTTGTTGATTACTTCCAAGATGATAGTGCCATTACTACACCAAAAACAATAGTATGTTTGGTCAGTCATTTTTTTTATTAAGCTTTAAATCTGTGCAGGACCACTGGTTTTCTTCTTTGGCAACTTGTTTAGTATCTTCTGATACCATGAGTGATAGGCTTCAAGAATGAAGCTCCCAGGTCAATTAATCCAAGGTCTGTGCCTCTCTTACTTCTTTAAATCGGGCTTCACTTATGATTATGTTAAAGTATTACTGTAATCTCTTATCTGGTTTCCATAGTTCTTGGAAATACATTTTCTTACACAAGTAGTTATTCAAATTGTCTTTTTTCTGAAGAGATACATTTTGGTGACTTTTCTTTCATCGTCTTGGTCCTTTGAGTACATTTTTAGTTTGTCTTATTGTCTTCTGTAGTTGAAAAGACTAAGCAGTTGGAAATTATTGACTAAGGGACTAAAGGAGAAGAGCAAGGATATAGGAGAAGAGCAAGGATATAGGAGTGATATTTGTTTTTATTTTTATAGTGGACCAAAAACAATACAGTATCGAAACATTGAATTATCAATGAATTTTGACATTATTAATATAATTATTTAAGTTTTTAAGGGCTAGTAAAGATCTGAACTGATACACAACTTTGATTTTTAAAAAGTCAGAACAAAACAAGTGGTCAAACTCTGATATCACTGTATCTTAGTGATAACCTGAACTCCAGCATTGTGGATCTTTAAGAAAAACAGAGTAAAGCAAGACTAAATGTATTACCAAACTCCCAGTTCCTACAAAAAGTCATTTTATGTGATTTAGCCAATAACAGATGGATAATGACTGAGGGATATGTTTCTTCTAAATGGAAAAGCAGGCCTTTATTTTCCCAATAGGCTTACAGGAGAGATGGCTTCAGCCATTAGGTAATATGGTTAATCCCTGAAGCTACATTGTGCAGACCATATGGTGTAATACTCTTCATTCACAGCAAATATTTATAAGAAGAACTAAGCCAGAAAGCCATTGCCTTTCCCCCCTCTATTTTGCAAATATCAGCATAGCCAATAAAAATATATTACTAGCTACAAGAATAGAGAAATATATAAGGGAGGTTCTATTTACCAGTTAATAAACTGTCATTGCACATCCCTGTTTAGCTAGCTAAGGAGGGTCCCATATGCTGACTTCATCTTTGAGATGACTCATTCATACATTGATTTGGGTCACCAAACCTTCAATATCTGAATCTCCCCTAAGTGTTAAAAGTACAGGTTAAAATCATCAGAGGGAGCTTGAAGAATGCAATTAATGATCTGCACGTATGTGACAAAATGTACATGAAATGCTCTGTTTTACAAAAGGAATGATAAACTTTCATGAATGTATAGCTGTAGCATACAAAAAACTGGGAACTGTTCAGTGATTTATACTACATAAAGAACAATTAGCTTTAATGTTAAATGATCTGGCTTTAGTACACCTTATGTGGTATTTCACTTGACTGTCTCATGTGTGGAGAAGGTATAATATTATTTTCTAATTGAGAAAGTTGAAATGATTTGCCATACATTAGAGAGGTATTAAGTGGCATTGGAAGGACCTGAATACCCAGCTGGCTGACTTTGGAGATTATGCTTTCTGATTACACTGCACCACCTTTAAAACAAACAATAAAAAAAAAAAAAACAGTCATTCTGTTGCTGAGCTTCAAACAGTAGGGATAACTGCTTCTACGTGAAGGGACATAGAAAAGACTGGGAGAGTATGGACACAGAGATGTGTCTGTACGCAATGAATAGGAATGTTTGCTAAATGGTGGAAACTCTGTTTTATGCCAAGCAATAGGCAAAATCAGTAGAGTACAAAAAGGCTGAGCCACATCTGTGGGATTGAGCACAGAGAGGAAAGAAGATGATAATTTCCTTCACTGTGATTGGATGGGCTTGTTATCTATCAGTGCATTCATTCTGGCTCCTAAACATAGTAATTTACTTAATAGTTGTTTTGTGACCAGGGAGTCTCACCAATCTCAAGTGATTCATTTCCTGGCTACCAAGGAGTTTAGGCAGAGGGGGAAGAAATCTAACTTCATTTTTAAAAAAAATGATATGAGGAAGAAACTTATGTCAGCCTGCTCTACTGTTCATGCCACAATGGAGCACTGTTTATTGACACCGGTCACTGAGATACAGAACATGGTTTTCTTGTGCAAGTGTTTCCTTGTGTTGGTATAAATGAGGAAAGAAACAAGTTGAATAGAAAAATTTTAGATTTGTTGATGTTTAGTGTGAGGCTTATTGTTAGAAAATTTGGACAGAATTCTAAGTACATATGCTAAATTTGTCATTATAATGGTTAAAAATAATTTTTCAATAATTAAAATCTGGGATTTGCTGGAGATTGCTTTATTTGCCATTCTTCAGATTTAAAGTGATCCATTATTATATTGTTACCTATAACAAGTTATATGCTGTAGAAATGTTAAGACAAAGCTGTAAGATTTCATTTTATTTGCTTGTCAGGTGATTAAACAGCAAGAACATGGCAAGGGTCTTTCTGACTGCACTGTGTATGATCTGCTCAAGTATGATGACCTTAATGCTGACAAGCACCTGACTCTTGAAGAATTCTATAGAGCATTCCGTGAGTACAGAGTCTATCTTCATTTCTTCCTGCTCTTTTCCCGGTTGCTTTACACAATATGGTCTGTAAGCTTGATCCCAAAGAACAAGCTGTTTCTTCTGAGAAGTGTTACAACTAAGAGAATTTAAGGTTTCTGTTGCACCAGAACATATGTAAAGTTACAGGATTTAGTGGTTCCAAAATAAACCTTTGGTGCTACTTGTTCTTCGTGACTCTGTTTTGAGAGCTGGTTTTCAGTGCTTTCAATGCTGCCTTCCAGGTTATTGGGAGCCGAGCAACAATGACCTGTTGTCACGGTACATCTAAAACAATTTAATTACTTATGCAGTGACATTTACACCTTCTTTGAGAAAGCAGGATGAATTAACAGATGGGATTGCTGTACACTCCAGGAGCTGTTGCTCTTTAGAATTGCTCTTTCTTTCACTGAAATAGAAAATTATATTCATGCTAAGGTACTTTGGAATAATTCATATTTGTCTGAGTTGCTTAAATGTCCTAGAATGATGAATTGTGCTTTATAAAACAGAAACATGAAAATGACTTGGGCAACACAAATTTCCCACAAGACTATTCTTTAAAAATAATTCAAAGAGAAAGGATTAAGAGGTAACCACAACAACAAACCTCAAAGTGAAGAATTAAGAGCAGTGTTCCAGAAAATGAATATAAGCTAGCTAGTGGGCATCTAAACAGCACCAAGGCAGTAAGATTGCATTTAGCTGAGCATTTGGAAACAATGTGAAATGATAGAAACACAGATAATAGACAGGTGGAAGTAGACCCCCCCTCAAAGAAGATATGATGCATATTTAATGAAAAAAAACTTTAAAATTATACTTTTGCTATTTAACACTTGATTGATTTAGAAGTTACTAAAAAGTATTTTCTTTCTTGGGGATAGCTAGCTAGCTCAAAGGTTAAAAGCACTTGCTATTCTTCCAGAAGACCCAAGTTCTGTTCCCAGCACCCATGTTGGGCAGTTCCAGCTCCAGGGAAACCAATGCTCTCTTCTGGCAGATGCTGGAACCACACCTAGTTGGCATAAACATATACACAGATACTCACACATAAACATAAATAAAAAATAAAAAATCTTTAAAACATTTTTCTTTAAAATTTGTATTAATGAAGATAGTTTTCTTAACATATGATAAATTCAAATTAAACTTAATATTTTATGCAGTGTTTGATGCAAAGAAAATGGTAAGTGAGAAACAGTGAGAATATACCATTTAACATAAGGCATAAATGTGTTCTTAGGATTTACTCAAGCTACATGTTCTCTTATCTTAGCAGGTAGAATTTACCAGACAGGGTGAATCAGTAAATTGTTGAACCCTTAAAAGTTTTTATTTTGTCAAAGTAAGTAAACAACATAAGTTTATCATTTCGTGTTTAAATGAAGAAGCTGAAATCCAGGGAGATCAAGAAAAATTGCCAAGTTTATGATCAAACTGATCTCAAACTAATGATTAAGTTTATGCATTTTCTACCAATCCTCCACCTATATCAGACATCTTTTTTGACCTCAGGAAGTCAGGAGGACAGAGAGAAAAAGTACAGTTTATCAGGGAAGAATAGGCATTTAAAATTTAATACAAAATTCTAGTATATATTATATGATAATATCATACAAGACAGAAAGTTATAGGAAAGGTTACTTAAAACACTGTCTAAAGACTGTAATGTGTGCTTCGGAGAACAAAAGAGCCCTTAAGAAGATGGTAGGAACTGAACTAGTCCTCCAAATAAGTGGATTGGAACTTTGGAAAAAGGACAAAGATCAGAGGACAGAAAAAATAAACAAGAAGTCAGGTGCCTGACATTCCAGAGCATTGATTCAGCATATACATTTCAATGAATTTCTGTACATTTCATACATTTTATTCATATTTAAATCCCCACCCCATCCACACTTGCCCATTGCCTCCCACTGGATTTCATGTATTCTGTTATATATTAAGGCCAGATATCCCTTGGTGTGAGCCATCCTCTCAAGCCTGGTCATTACCCAGCAGTAATCAGCTGCTAATAGTTCCCTTCCCCTTTTCTGAAATTGTCCCAGAGTAATGGTGTGTGAGATTTAACATAGGAATCCTATTCAGAGAAACGCATTTGGGAATCTTATTCTCTACACTTTGGCTACTTGTGGCTTTCTTTTTTTATTGCCCTCTGTTACATGAGGAAGCTTTGCTCCTAAGAGTAGAGGCACACATTAGTACTTTTCATTCTACTCCTTTCTGTGTTATGTTCTGTGAGCCCTAGGTATAGAGTTTCCATTGTTGGTGTGTAACTTATGGTTGAATATTTCACAGACATTATTTTCTATATTTGATTAGTTGTGGAACTCTGTAACAGTCTTCAACTGTTGCAAAACAAATCTTCTTTGATGAGTGGTGATTGGTACTGTAAATATAAGAATCCATATGTAGCATATAGTAAGAAATTACATTTGCAAAGAATGTACTCTGGTTAATCCATTCCATCCAACTTAATACATATTTTGTGAGCGTCAAACATACACAGGGTTTTTATCTCCCAAGAATGTCTCTGATGAACATTTCTTCTCATTCCCAAATGAAGACCCTGTGACTTCTCAAGGTTATAGGGGACTTGAATGAGATGATGTCTGCAGAATACTTAACACATTTATTGCACAGTAAGGATTCATCTAATGTTGATTGATTCCTTTCTCCCTTTTTTCCTTAATTACTCCCTCCTTTTGTGTCTATATATCCATGAATCCATGAATCCATCCATCCATCCATCCATTCACCTATCCACCCATGCACCTATCTACTCATCTTTTTTTATCTTCTTTTTTAAAAAAATATTTAATAACCACATGATTAGAAGAAGCATTTCATTACAACAGCATTGACGTATTCAATAACAATTTCCAAAGCAAAGAGGCATCTCTTTCAAAATTAGCTGTAAATTTTGAGGTTAACAATTGAATTAATACAGGTATAAAATATTGAAGTCAAGCTAAACCCTATAAGACATAAAATTTAGTGAGGTTTTAACCTTTAAAAAAGATCTCCATTTCATTTTAAAAGATACTGTTTCATACAAAAAACTTGTTTTTAATGCTGCTAACACTTAGATGTTTGCACATGCGTCTCTAATCTCTATGTATCTGATTATTACTGATCACAGTTGGTTACTTTCTGAGATCGACCTGAGAATGGATATAAAATCATTGGGTAGATTTCAATAGTAATGTTTCACCTCTACTAAATAACATGAAGCAAATTTTTATGCTTCCTCCTCAAATATAGCTCATTTTTTAAAAATCTGTTGAGTTCATGTGTGTATTTCATACAGAATATCCCAAACAATCTTATTCATTTATGTACCCACATCCCAGATGGTACCCTCCCATAGTCCCCGCTCCCACTGGAGTCCATATACTCTGTCATCCCTGTTACTGTCCACTGTGTTGTCAGTGCGCCCCAGCCATTCCCAAGTGCTTGTCCATCTGCTGAATCTAGTCAGCCTATCAATTTAGTCAGAGTTCTTTGATTTAGAAAGATCAGCTCTTCCTTATCTGACAGCAAACAGTCACCAATATTCCTTAAGATAAAATTGGGGTCTGCTGTTCATTTTCCAAGTTCTATGCTGGGTTACTGTCTGGGAGTCTCTTGGGCTACCCTGGCCAACAACTCAAAGGAAGGTATCTCTTGTCTGGCACTGTTTCTGCTATGTAGCCTTTAGCTATACACATGGACTCTTAAGGAATTATATTGATCCCTTTAATCTTTGGTTATATATTCCTTTTGGGTGTTTAAGACCATACAGTTGGCCCAGATAAACTGATTTATTTTTACTCTTAAGGTTATTTGAGGATTTGTTCTTCAGGGGTCACATGGGCTTTGGAGGAGCCCTTGACTTCTTTCCTTTACCAGTTCCATCTATGTGAAGATAAATCAAAGGTCCTGCTCACCCATGGCTGGCTTCACTTGGAAGCACGGAGAAAACATTTGCTCTGTGTTGACCCTCCTCTTTGTGGGCTGGACACTGGTTCAAGTCCATCTGGTGGGGTCTCCATGGTCTCCTTGATCAAGAAGACAGGTGACCCACCACAGTTACAGGACATTTTGAGAGATGCTAATAGTCCCCCGAAGCTTAGTCTACCTAGGAGGGCAAGGAGCAAAAACTGTCCTTAATGTCCCTCTGATTAAATTAGTATAGGTATGTTAGACATCCAAGAAGTTTAGTTCCACAAGTCTGGTACTTTTAATTACCATGTGCTATGTAGATAAATCTTGGGCAAAGACCAAACATTCTCAGGTAAACCTTGCCTAGACATGTATTATATTCCTTGAGCTAGTAGTATGTATAATTTGTCATTAGGTTGTTTGATTAATATGGTTCCCTCTGGTTTTTTAAAACTAGGTAGACATTATCTCTTGCATTATCTAACACATCCACCGTGCTTTCCCCATTTAAAGTGTCCCCATTTTTCCCATTTCTCCCATAATAATACCCTTCTCCTACAGTCCCACCTCTCTTGAGCTCCTTCTTTCTCTTTATCCCTAAGGTTCCTTGTATAACCTTACCTCCTCCCTCCCCTTAAAATAACCCTATTTTTATCCATATCTCCCTTATTAATGCTTGTTTCCTGCTGTTCTCCTCTTTCAGATTCTTTCTTGTCCTTTACCTTCCATTATCCTGGTTCCTGTAGTTATGTCTGGATACATACTCACTTATGAGGATTGGGTGCTAGAATCCACATATGAGAGAGAACATCCTTTTTGTTTGTTTCCGGTTCTGTCTTACTTCACTTAGTATAACAGTTTATAGTTCCATCCATTTACCTGCAAATTTCATGATTTCATCTTTCTTTACTGCTGAGTAAAACTCCATTGTATAAATGAACCACATTTTCATTATCCACTCGTCAGTTGAGGGACACTTAGGTTGCTTCCATCTCTTAGCTATTGTGTAAAAAGCAGCAACAAACATGGATGTACAAGTGTTTCTGCAGTAGGATG